AGGCACACACCACCAGGCCCAGTCTCAATCACTGTCTCAGCACGCCCCAGAGGCAGGGCTGGCACGGCTGGCTGGGGATTGAACCTCTGACCCCTGCATTTGCTTAAGCAGGTGCTTTAATTCGCTGAGCTATCTGGCCAGTTGTTTTCTTTTAAGAGAAGATGTTAATGAATGAATTGTTTTTTCTAAAACTAAAACCTCAGTATTCAGGCTTATTTGTAGTGTTGGCACCTTGTGATGAGTACGTGGATTCTGGGTTGCAGTTTGGGCACTTATCTTTAAAAGGTTCAACATTTGTGATACAGGAGGTAGGGCCCAGGGAAGGAAGTGAAGACACAAAGGCAGGTCCTTGGAAGGGATACTGGGACACCAGCACTTTTTTGTCTTTCTTTTCCATTCCTGGCTGTCAGGGGGTAAGCATCTTGCACTATTGTAGACTTTCCATGATGTTCAGACTCAACACCAGCCTAAAGGCAATGGAGTTAAGTAACAATGGGCTGAAACCTCCAACCCCATGAGACAAAATAAATAACTTTTTTTTTGGTATGTATGTGTGTTAAGATAGGGTCTTGCTGTGTAGTTCAAGCTGGCTGTGAACTGTGTACGCCAGGCTGACCTCGAGCTTGTGGTGATCCTTCTGTCTCAGCTTCCTAAGTGCTTGGATTACAGATGTATGCTGTGGCTAGGTATCTTTCTTCTTTTTTTAATTTTCAGATATTTTGTCACAGCAATGGAAAGCTGACTCATAGTTTCTTCTACCACTGTCTTTCCTTTTCTTCTTTTTTCTTCTTCTAGGTACAGGGCCTTTGCACTGAGCTACATCCCTAGCCTTTATGTTTTGAGACAGAAGGTTGCCACATTGCGCCATCTGACCTCAAACTTGTGATCTTTCTGCTTAAGCCTCCCCAGAGGCTAAGATTACAAGCATGTACCACTACACTGGCTTTAATATACTCTTTTACCACATTCTTTTATTCTCTGTTTTTTCCTGTAAATTGGTAAATTATATCTATTGACTTCATCAGGTTCTGGTTCTATTCTTGGAATAGGAACAAGAAGAAACACAGAAGTCGAAAGGTAACCCTATGCTCATTTACTTTTATTTGGGATATTAATTTTTTTTTTAAAGTTCTTTTAGGGCTGGGGACATAGCTCAGTAGAATAAGCACAGGGTCGTGAGTTCAATCCCCTGTACCGAAAAAAAAAAAAAAAAAAAAAAAAAAAAAAAAAAAAAAAAAGGTTCTTTTAGCTTGGCATGGTGGCCCATGACTATAACCTCAGCACTAGGGAGGCTGAGGCAGGAGGATCTCTGCAAGTTCAAGGCCAGCATGGGATACACAGTAGGTTTAAGGCCAGCCTGAATTACAGTAAGACCTTGTCTGAAACAATAAAAAACTAAAACAAAAACAAAGAAAGAAGAAAAGAAAAGCTCTTCTGATGGCTTTGTTTTATTTATTTATGTGTGTGTGTGTGTGTGTGTGTGGCCAGCTCAGCCCACCAGAGGTCGGGGCTGGCTGGCATGTGGTGCTGGGGGATTGAACCACGGTCCCTGTGCTTTGCTAAGCTTGTTTTAAGTAGGTGCTTTAGACCACTGAACCATCTCACCAGCCCCTTCTGATGGCTTTGAATAGTACTCACTTGCTGAGGATGCCTGCATTTACACTTCTTAGTTAGTCAGGTCTTTCCAAGGCTTCACAGAGTAGATGGAACTTCACTTTCAATCACTATTTTGATGTCTAAAAGACATCCCTAAGTGTAATGTCCAAGATGGAACTTTTGTTTTTACCCAATTTATGACTCACATCTTCCTTATCACAATAATGGCAGCATCATCCACAGTTGCAAAAGCCCAAAACATTGAGTCCTTCCTTTCTCTAAGTCTGACAATCAATTCCAAGTGCTGTTGGTTTTACTTAAAACATTATACATTTCTTATCTGGGCATGGTGGCACGCACCTGTGATCCTAGCATTCAGCGAGGCAGGAGGATTGCCAAATTTGAGGCCAGTCTGAATCACATGGCAAGAGCCCTTCTCAAAATGACAACATGTTACTCATATTGCTTGATTTTATCTTATTATCTGAGGTCTCTGATCTCTCAGTGGCTCTTAGAATAAAATCTAATTGACTTTTGTAGGCCTAGAAGTCCCAGCCTGCCTTCTTTTTACATGTCCAGTCTCAAGAATACATGAAGCTCTTAGTTTAGAGAATTTCCACTGTTATTCTATATATATCAGAAAAATGCTGAGCTGGGGGGATAGCTCACAGTCTAAGCACCTGTCTGGCAAGCTCAAGGACCTGGGTTCGATCCTTGGAACCCTGGGTGCATCATGCCAGCCACCAAAACTTGCATGGTGGCACAGGCCTGTAATTCCAGTGCTGGGGAGGATGAGACAGGATGATCACTATGAGTCTGAGCTATATAGTGAGACCCTGTACCACATGCATTAAAAAAAAAAAAAAAAAAAGATTAGAAAAAACAAACAAGAAAATGTTCTTCCCCTATTTCTTTTCATGGCTAGCTGCTGCTTTTTGAGTTTCAGTAAAAATATTACCTCATTAGAGAAGCCTTTCTTTTTCTTTTTTTGAGATAGGATCTCACTATCTCACAGTCCAGGGAGGCCTTGAGTCCAGGCTGGCCTTGAGTCATGGCAATCTTCTTGTACTCCTTCCCAAGTGCTGGATTACAGGCCTATGACACCACACCTGGTTTAGAGGCCTTTCTTTCTTTTTTTTTGTATTTTTTTTTTTTTAGGGAAAGGTCTACAGGGTGTACAGTCTCACTACTAGATCAGACTCTTTGTGATCCGCCTGTTTACAGCCTCCTAAGAGCTGGGATTACAAGCACACACTACTATGCCCAGTCTCAATTGCCATCTCAGCGAGCCCCGGGGGTGGTGTTGGCATGGCAGGCCCCAGGATCAAACCTTGGCCTCTGTGCCTGCTTGCAGGCACTTTAATCTGCTGAGATTGCTACAGCTCAGACTTGTAGTGATACTCCTATTTTCAACCTCCCCAGTGCTGGGATTAGAAATGTGTGCCACCACGCCCAGAAAAGTAGCCAGCTCAGTGTGCTGGGTGGTGGGGCTGGTGCGGTATGTGATGTGGGGATCAAACCCAGGTTCCTGCACTTGCTTTAGCAGGTGCTTAGTCTGCTGGGCTATCTACCCGGCCTCAAATTTTAATACTATTTCTCAAACAAGGGCTATATTTTGGCCTTTTTTTTTTAAAACAGGCTCTTGCTATGTTGTCCAAGCTGGCCTCGAATTTACAGCAATCCTCCTGACTCAGCCTTCCATCTGCTGGGATTACTGACATGTATCACCATGCCCAGATAAGAATAACTTTTTAAAATTGAAATTTTACCTGGGAAAATAGCTCTGAGGCACAGCACCTCCCTGACATGTGCAAGGTACTGACATCAGTTCTCAATACCAAACCAAACCAAACCAAACCAAACCAAACAAAACCCTGAAATTTTAGTGGGATCAATCCTTTGCACTGCAAAACTACTTTTTACTTGCATATGATCTCTCGGAAATTCCTAATATTGTCAGTATACTGACAAATAATTTTATATGATAGTGACTGCTTGATTTAAAGTCTAACTTACTAGATTCTCTATTATAAACATATTTCCCTTATTTTTAGGACCAGTATATGAGAATTTCCTTTTCTGGTGGTATGATAAAGAAGTACTCAACAGTGATATCTTTAGTCTTTCCTGCCTCAGTACTTTTCTGATGCAATGACAGGATAGATGTGAATTATACCTAACATAGAGGCAGTTAGGTACTGTGCGTTGGTCTTTTGAAAGACAGAACTTTATAGTGGGAAGATATCTTATGGATCATGTAATAATGCAAAATAATCATTTTTATCTATTTAGTTCTTTTAAAGGCAGGGTATTACTATGTAGCTCAGCATGGCCTTGAACTCATGATCTTCCTGCCTTAGCTTCCAAGTGCTGGGATTTTAGATATGTGCCACCATGCCTGGCTCAAAACTTTGATTTTCAAGGGGTCAAAACTTAGCCTCTGAGGTACTACACATTTACTCTTCCCAGCCTTTATAAGATTTTCACAAGATCTTGTACTTTAGTAAGTGAGAACCACATCCAGAGCTGGATCACAGGACTTTTACATCATAAATCTATTATTTTCATCATTTAGGTCTACTTTTCTCCTTTCCTGGTATCTTCTGTGAGTGTAAGTTACAAATTATTCCAGTGACCTCTGTTGTAACTGAGGTAGCACAAGATTCCAATATTTTTGATGAAAAACTTTATATTACTTTACCAAACTAAATGTATAAATTAAGTAAAACATATTTCTTATTTGTACCTCCTTCAACAGCCACCTGCCTATTGAAACGACGAGCCAGCGGTGGTTACCAGTTGTATCTCATTGGTTTGGTCGGCTTGGTAAATCTGCGTGGACTGCTAGGCCACTGCAAGCAGCAGCGGCCTCCTCCTGGCCTCGGTCCTCACCCTGCAGCGTGGCCTCCTCCCTTCCTGGGTCCTCACCCCTCTGGCAGGGTTGCAGGGACACACGGGGGGCGGGGCGCTCCTACACGAGTGTTCCCCGGGAGGGTGAGCCCTTCCTGGCTTCAACAAGGTCTGGGGCTTCGCGCTCGTCACGGCCCCCCCCATGCTAAGCCAGCGGGCCGCGTCCTCTCTTTCCGGCCGCCTTTTTCTCGGCTCATCTTCAAGTTGGACAGCCCGCGAGGACACGTTGGGTCCTCTTCCACTCACACCACTCCAATCAGAGAACATCCTGTGGCTCAAACACTAGCGGTGAAAGCGGAGCCATAGTCTCCCGGCCTCGCGCCGACCAGTGCCTCTGGCCTTCTGCCCCGCCCGCAGCTGACCCCTGGGAGGCAGGGACCCGCAGTCAGGCCAGCAGAGGGGCACACCAAGACTCTCGCGAGAGTTCGCTCGCGGCGGGGCGGGGGCAGAGCAGCAAGGAGCTGGCGCCCCGCCCCCGCAGGAGGCGCGCTGCCCCTTCCTCCCTGACCCGGTGGTCGGAGTTCCAGAGGCCGGGAGCGTCGGACCCCGGCACTGTTCGGCTGCCGCTAACGCTGCCGTGAGCTCTTGTGCTCAGCTTCCTGTTCCCGCCACTCGGCCCGATCTCTGAGCGTGGCCCGACCCGCGGCCGACATGAGCTTCTTGTTGTAAGTAGCCAGGCCGCGTCGCTTTGTTCGGGCGACCTGGGCGTAGGGCCCGGCCTCCGCCCCCACCTCCCGGCAGGTCCAGATTTTCCCCGGCCCGGAGTCCATCCCAACCGCGCCGGCCTCGCCCGCTCCGCCAGCGTCCACCCGCGCCAGCCTCAGCTGACCCCGCGAGACGCCGGGCCTCGGGCGGTGGCGCCGTGGCGCTGACCTGGAAACGAGGCACCACAGGTTGGGGCTCCCTGGTGACGGCCTGGCCCGCGGTATCCGCGCAGCCTCCGCACCCCGTGAGGACGGAATTTGTCTTGGAAGACGCCGCCAAGGGGGCTGGCTGAGTGGGCACTGTGCGGCAGGCGTCTCGGGCGGCTGCTCTCCGCTCAGCCTGCTGCGGCCTCGGTCCTTTCTCACTTCTCTGACTCTGAACCTTTGAGGCGCGGACGGGAAAGGGCGGAACGACGAAGCATATGAACTGTGGGGCCGCAGATGAACCCCGGGATCCCCCAAAAGGGCTAGCGCTCACCCCATGTGGAGACGCAGCATTTTTTCTTTCCACACCTCCCATAATGTGTAGTCACTACATTGGTCTCTGAAGCCTCAGCATTTAATCCATCTTTATTTTCATCTTTTATCTGGAATATTGATTCTTTTTAGGGTGTTTAAGCAGAAGTGAACTGTCACAGAAGGCAAATGGCCAGGCAGAATTTCTGCCAGTTTCCAGTATTCACACACAGGGGCTTGGCTTTCGTCGACCTGCTTGACATACTTGAGCTGTTCTTTCTAGGTTCATCCTAAAAGTTGATTCTCAGTTTGTCAAAATGAAAACGACCTAGATGAGAGTACTGGATGACTTTTAAGCCTGTTTTATGTTTTAATTCTTGTCTACATAGCCAGGCATTTCAGCCTGGAGCTTCTCATCTTGAGTGTAATATTACATTGCTCATGTTATAGTCTCAAGAATTTAAAACCTGTCTTTGAAATACCAGCGTGGATGATGTCCATGACTGCCGCTGAAGGGCTGTGGCTCTTGGAACTCTTAAGTTGGTGGAAGTAGGAAAGAGCCATATTTGGCTGAAGTTAGAAGATGGAAAAGGTTCTGGAGCTATTTTCTGAATAAAAATACAATTGTGTCCTTTTTTTTTTGTAATATGGCTCAGTATATAATAGATTCACAAGAGTAGCAGATTAGTTAATATCTCCTGAGGATATTAGCTACTTAACATTTTGCTGTAACTAATGTAGTTAGCACTGTAGTGGATTTGTACTATATGAGGCACAATTTTTTTTTTTTTTTTAGCTAGGCCACATGTAACATTTAACTCATTGTCAAAATGTTAACCCCATGTGGGTGACAATCTCCCCAAATTAAGTCAACACTTTTAGTTTTGGTCTTTGTCCACGAGTAATTTAGAATACAAAGTGAAGACCACATAGAAATAATCATTATCAAAGCAAAAGGACAAATTTTCCAGTATCTTAATGTTTTTTTTTTTTTGTATAGTTTTTTGAGTATTATTTTGAACTAATAGAAAGCAGAGACAAAGTTGGGTATTTATGAACAAATGTTTTCTTCTAGTTCTTAAAACTGTACTGGAAGGGCTACTGTAAGTGGATAAGAGCACAGGAAACAGGGTATGGAAAGATAGGGTAGCAAGGTTATATGAGTCATGACTTCAGAAGATAGAAGAAAATAATTATTGATTAAAAAAAACCCTTTCACTATAGCAGGCACTGGCACAGACACTGAGTATCCTTCATGACAAGATCACACCCATTCATTCTTTAGTGGAGCTTTAGTGAAAGTCAGTAAATTATGTAGTGTGGAAGAAGATTGCAAGTACTGTGGAAGAGAGCTGAGCAGGGCTAGGAGATTTTTTCAATAGGGAGTCATCACAGCTTTTGCTAATTGTCATAGGTGCCCAGATCATCTAATGTAATTTTTATTTATTTATTTATTTATGTGTGTGTGTGTGTGTGTGTGTGTGTGGCCAGCTCAGCCCACCAGGGGGCGGGGCTGGCTGGCATGTGGTGCTCGGGGATTGAACAGTGGTCCCTGTGCTTTGCTGAGCTTGTTCTAAGTAGGTGCTTTAGACCACTGAGCCATCTCACCAGCCCCCAGATCATCTAATATCTTTGTGTAGCCTTTATGCAGATGTTAAGGATACATTTATGCTGTATGTGTAGGTATAGCTGAGACAAAGCTTTGGTTGTACTGGACGTTGGCCTCTGTATCAGCAGTGAAACTTGAGGATGGTGGATAAACTTCATAAGAACTTTACTGATGTTGTAAACTTAAATCTCTAGACATCCTCAGCACTTGCTGTGGAGACTCCCCCAAGTTTTTTTCACAAAGTGGTGATAATTGGTGAAAGGTTAATACAAGTTCTCTAAGAGAGCAAGGGGAAATGGGAGAGTTCACGCAGAGGAAACACAGAGGTGTGAAATTGCATGTGAATTGTCCCTTTTCAATTTTATGCAAGAACCTGTAGAATTTTGGAGCGAGATTGGCGCTATCAATAACAGCCTATTTATCTTTTTGCTGAAAACTACCAACTTCCTGTTGCTAGTCTACTACTAGCCTGAACATTGGTGTGGCTACACTTAGAACTTAAATCACTTGGTGGTTTTGCACTCCTGGCATTTTATGTATAGAAAATGCAGCAGCTGTGCTGGCCCGGGAACCCCAGGCATGCTGTACCGGCCACTGAAACTGGGCATGGTGGTATACCCCTGTAATGCCAGCACTGGGTAGGCTGAGATAGAATGATCACTACAAGTCTGAGCTGCATAGTGAGACCCTATTCCAAATAAATAAATAAATAAATAAAATAATTTAACAAATAAAATGCAGCTAAAGTCAGAGTAAAAGTGACTTTTTAGTCACCATTCAAAAAGCATATTGAGGGGCTGGTGAGATGGCTCAGTGGTCTAAAGCACCTACTTAGAACAAGCTTAGCAAAGCACAGGGACCGCGGTTCAATCCCCCAGCACCACATGCCAGCCAGCCCCGCCCCCTGGTGGGCTGGGCTGGCCACACACACACACACACACACACACACAAATAAATAAAATTAAAAAAAAAAAAGCACATTGAGCGTTCTTCTTTTTTTTGTTTTATTTATTTATGTATGTATTTATTTTGAGGCTAGGTCTTGCTGTGTAGTTCAGGCTAGCTTTGAACTAACTATGTAGCCCAAGAAGGCCTTGAACTCTGGGCGATCCTCCTGCCTCACCCTCCTGAGTGCTGGGATTACAAGTATGCACCATGGCCAGCTTCACCTTGTTTCTATAATTTGTAAATTCTCTTTGGAGTGATGGAGCCTACAAAAACAGGTGACTTAGAAAAGTCACTTTACGAATGTGAGATTCCTTGGTTTCCTAATACAATATTCTAATGTAAGGCTAGTTGGATGGATTAGAGGTAAAATATAATTCACTTGTAAATGGAATCCTTTAGAAAGAGTAGATAATGGATGTGAGTGAATATGGAGAGGAGGATTCACTGAGCACTATTTGAAGTACCTTTCATTTGTGTTTCTTGGTAATGGCAAGATGGGAAACCTGACCAGGATCCTAGCCATGTCCAGGTCTGTCTCCCTCTAACTTCTAGGTCCTGCTTTATCCTGTCTTATCTGTAATTGATAAAACTGTGTGTGTGTTTGTGTATTTGCCCCCCCCCCCAAAGGTGTTATCACATAGGCTTTTGCTTGTTTGCTTTTTGGCAGTTCTGGAAATTAAACTCAAGGCCTTCACACTAAACTACACCCCTAGTTTTTTTTTATTTTGAGGTGTTTGTTAGTCTCTTTTCCTTTTTGTTACATAAGGACCCAAGAAGAACCATCTGACTGAACACCCTTGATCTTGGCCTGCTCAGCCTTTACCACTATGAACAACACATTTCAGTTTTTCGTTAGATATCAAGGTGGAGGTATTGTGGTATACTAATCCTAAGACAGTGGTGAAAGGTTAATATAACAGACTTAACACAGTGTTCCTATGTTGTCAAAGAACTAGAACCTGTAACTAGTATTTATTTTCATTCTTAAACTGTCCCTGTTTTGGTAGGATCCCTGTTCATTCTGGGTTACATGTGTCTTGAATTTTTCCCATCTTTTTCTGGGTACATCTTTTTTGCTGTTACAAGATGTTCCAGATTGAGCTTACATTTTCTGCCTCAGCTCTGAAGCTGGTCATTTCTCCTAGGATCTTGGTTCCATTCAGTGGAGAATTTTTTTTTTTTTTTCCTTCAGTACTGGGGTTTGAACTCGGGACCCTGTGCTTGCCAGGCAGGTGCTTATGCTGCTGAGCTATCTCCCCAACCTGAGAATGGTATTTAGAAACCAAGGTCTAAACTGAGTGAAGTGGTGGACACCTGTAATCCTAGCACTCTGGGAGGGCCAGTTTGATTCTAGTGTAGGCAAGCTAGCTGTGCCACCCCTTGATTGGAGCACCTTCTCCAAGCTTTGGCAATGAGTATATGAGGCCATTAGGGGCCATCCTGCACCCAAACCATGACAACACTGGTAGAAAATAACATGACACACATTCGCATCCAGGTTTTAGATTTATCAATTGCGTATGTTAAGTGAATTCATACCATGCCCATCGATTTTAAGCCAACAGCATTTAGGGTTCATTCTAACCTTTTTTCCTTTTTTTTTGATTATTTTGTTACTCTTCTCATTTTATCTTTCAGCCTAAGTCTTTTTTTTTCCTTTCTTTCTTTCTTCCTTTTTTTTTTTTTTTTTGCAGAGCCGGGGATTGAACTCAGGTCCTTGTGCTTGCCAGGGAAGCACTTATTCTACTGAGCCATCTCCCTGGCCCCTCCTTTTGGTTTTTGAGACCAGGTCCAGGATGGTCTTGAACTCGTGAGGTAACACAGGCTTGTCTCAAACTTGCATTGATGCATCTGTCTCAGCCTTCTAGAGTGCTGGGATTATAGGAGTGCACCACCACATCTGGCCTAGTTCTTTTTGTTCTCAAATATAAGATGATAAGAATAGTTC